CACCTCCCTTCAAAAGGGAAAGGTGGCTGTGGTGGATTAAGAAAACGCCCAAAGATAGACAGGCTAAGAAGCATGGCTGTGGGCCAGACCCCTGGGAAGAAGACAGGGCTTTCGCATGCAGGATCCAAGCTCTTTCCCACAGCCAGAACAGCTGGCCACTGAACCCCACCCAGGCCCAACTTCAGTGTCCTGCCCCTGCCCTGTCCTGCTTTGCCCTGCTGCAAGCCCACCATCCAGCCTCAGGTCTCCCAGGATGCCTGTCCTCCTTCAGCCTGCACGTTGCTGAAAATACCTTCTCCCTCCCCAGCCATCAGCTCCTATCCTCTCCAGCCCATCTTGATTTGGGCAGATTCCTCCTCCCACACCTCCTAGCGTCCTATGTGAGTTACATCAGGGTCTCTTCATTGTCTCATGCTCTGGTCTCTCCAAAAGCTGCTTAACCCTTCCCATCCACTCCTGTATCCTCCGTGGACTCAGAGCTCACGGACCAACTGATCACTTTGAGCCAGGCCTGGTCTTTGAACCAAGACACTCCCCTCTGGCCACCTGAAGTATGGACACCTTTTTGAATTAGAGAAGGCTCCTCTTTACCAAAACCGGAAATTGCCATAGCACATCTACTACATCCCAAGCACAGGGAGGCAACAGCAAATAAAACAAGGTCTCTACCTACACCGTCAAAGATCAGGGCCCATCAGACTTTTCCCTGAACTAATATCCCAGGAGAAACACAGTTGGTCCAAGATCTGCATTTGAGTTTTTTTTAAATTAATAACCTTGTTTTGAGACAAATACAAGATGGATCATTCTTATGGAATACTGTAAGGTAAGTTGGTATGTCTTATCTAGTTTAACCCTAGAATCACAGTGTGATTAGAACTGGGACATCAAACTCCTCTCTGAAATGCACTGTGTAACTGTGGTTTAAAAACTGGAACCCCTTTCCCGCGGTGACGACCTCCCCACACACAGGATCTCCTTCATCCCTCTCCCAAAGAGGAGAAGAGAAAGGACAAGACACGCCTGGCGCAGAGCCCCAACTCCTACTTCTTGGGTGTCAAAGGCCCAGGCTGCTATAAAATCACCACGGTCTTCAGCCAGGCACAAACAGTAGTTTTGTGTGTTGGCTGCTCTACTGTCCTCTGTCAGCCTGCAGGAGGGAAAGCAAGGCTTCCAGAAGGATGCTCCTTCAGATGGACGCAGCACCAAAAGACCCTGAATCAGGATGAGTGGGAAGCCATCCCAATAAAGCCATTTTGGATTAAAAACAAAACAAAACTGGAACCCACCTCTGAAATGCAGGCAATAGACTTTGAATTGACTCGAAGGAAATGGGGCATTTTTTTAAGCGGAGAGGGGGAGGGAGATCACTCACTGCCTTACACTGGATGTCAATCCATAGTGTCTCCATAGGACAGGGCAGGGCTGCTCCTTTCTGTCTCCAACACTATAAATCTTTACAGGAGCAACAAACCGCATCTTTTGACCTCAGCGGAGCCCAGGTGGAGCAGTGGGTTACCTTAGGCTGCTGAAACACCAGGTCAGCAAGTCAAGACCACCAGCCATTCGGTGGGAGAAAGAGAAGGCTTTCCCACTCCCTTAAAGAGTTACAGTCTCAAAAAAAAAAAGAAAAGAGGAGGGGTGGTGGGGAGAGAGACAGTTACAGGCTCAATACAATGGTGTTAACATTTAAAACATTATCATTCGATCTCCCTTTTGGTCCATGTTAAATTGGTCCTAGTTTTTAATATTTTCCTCTTTCTTTTTGATTGGGGTTTTATCTGTTTTCCTTTGTTATGGTGGTTAGTTTGTTGATGTTGTTTTTAGTGTTTTTTCTCTATATGAAATCAGGATAGGTGAATCTATAGAGACAGTAAGTGGATTAGTGGTTCCGTGGGGGCATGGCCAGGGAGGTTTGGGGGAGATGGGGAACTAATAACGATGAGCACAAGAAGGAAGAAATTGTTCTCAAACTGATTGCAGTGGTGATAGTCCAACTCTTCTTGATGTGATTGAATTATTGAATTGGATGATACATGGGAATTACATGTCAATAAAACTGGTTTTGTTTGTTTGTCATAGCTTTGTTGTAATTTTTTAAATTGGGAGCTCTTACAGATATTATAACAACCCATAATTCAATGAGATCAAGCATAATTGTACAATTGCTGCCGCCATCAGTTTCAACACGTTTACTTTCTTCTTCAACTCCATTATATCAGCTCCCCTTTATTCCCCTCCCTCCCCCACCCTGCCCCCCAGGAACTCTTCTATGCCATATACATATGGCACCATCCAATATATCTTTTCACCTACAACTCTGTATTTCCTTCCCCTCAAGTGGGGCTATACAGTCATCATTGCTATCAGCTCCTCCTTGCCCCCTTCACTCCCCCGACCCTCAGAAATCATTACTCCTGTAACTGCTTCTGAAGGGTTCTCTTTATCTATCTTGGCTTTCTTGCATCCAATGATCTTAGTTAGACAAATAAACATACGTAGGTTCAACAAGATTAATGAGGTAAAACAAAGACCATAACAGTAAGGGGAGGAAATATTAAAGAACTAGAGGATCGTTATGTGTTTCTTCAGGGCTATACCGCACCCTGGATATGTCATCCCTTGTGTGTGGCCCTTCTGTGAGGGACTGCCCAATTGTCTTACAGGTAGGTTTTGGGTTTTGGGTCTCCTTCACATCAATTTACTTGTTTTTTAACTTCTGATACTTATTCTCATCAACACCTCACAATCACAAAGACTGGTATGCTTCTTCCATGTGGACTTTGTTGCCTCTCTGCTAGATGGCCACTTGTTTAAATTCAAGCCTTAAGACCCCAGACACTATATCTTTTAATACCCAGGCACCATCGGCTTTCTTCACCACATTTGCTTATGCACCCATTTTGTCTTCAGTGATTGTGTCGGGAAACTGAGTATCATACAATGCCACTGTGGTAGTTACATAATCTGTTGTCAATCTGAGACTTGAGAGTGAAGGGTGGAGTGTACCTGTCAATCAGATCGCTGCTTAATGACCTCATTTGGAGGCAGTAAGGAGATAAATAGCTCGCTGGAGGTGGGACACTCACTCACTCCCTGAAAGACATTGCAGCTGACAAGACACATGGGGCTACACTACTGCCCTGAGCTGGAGGAGCCACGTGGAGACCCCTGCCAGTGCTGAGATGTTTACAAAGCCACTGGATCTACAAGAGTTCCCACCCACTGGCCTGTGATCTTCCTGCATTCGGCATCATTGCACGTGTTTCGTAAGTCTGAAGAAGAATTTATAGGTTGGTATTGGACATATGAGCTAATATCAGACTTATGAACTTGATCTGGACTGGGCTGGGATGTTTTCTTTTTTCTTTTGGTGGGGGGATGTTTTCTTAATGTACAATTACTCTTTATATAAAGCTCTTTCTTATACACATGAGTGTCTCTGAATTTGTTTCTCTAGTCAACGCAGACTAACACAGTCACAGTATTAGAACAAACCATTCTTCTACTGAGGTAAGATGTACGGAGAGGCCCAAAGTCTTTATAAGACAGGCAGGATAAGCAATCCTAAGGAGACAGAGGGGGGCCTACAGTGCCAGGGGGCATGGGGTGGTGGGAGGTGGGAGGTGGGAGATGGGGAGGATCCGTGAGTCAGTAACAGCAAGGACAGAGGAAATGTAAGGGTTCTAAAATTTTCGGTGAGGAGGGTATAATGTTCCTGGTTGTGTTTGATCAATTGAAATGTATCCAAGAGGAATTAACTGAAAGGTGAACAATGGATAAACACGATAGTGGGGCAGGAGGACAGCAAAAGGAAAAGGAAGGAAAAAACAAGAAAGTAAGAATTATAGATGTTTATATGTAAATATATAAATGTATAATGATAGGTCTATGTATATAGATATGAATATAATAAGGAAGTCGATGGACTTTGGGCTTCTATGTAAATAAAACTGTTGTTTTTCAAAGAGTCCCGGTCTCAGAATCGCACAGGGGCAGTGCTACCCAGTTCTGTAGAGTGGCTGTGAGTTAAAACCGACAAGGGGGCAGTGAGTTTGGTTTGGACTTTTGGGGGTTCTTCAAAACGGTTGGTGGGTTCGAACTACTAGTCAACATAGATACCCCACTACACGGCCAAACCTAAAATCCAGACTTACTGCTCTCAACTCAGTAAGGACGCAGAGCGACCCGACAGGGCAGGGCTCTGAGACTAACTGTAAGCAGAAAGCCTCCGCTTCCTCCAGCAGCGCGGGTGACGGAGACCTGCAGTAAGCAGCCCAATGTGCACCCACTACGTCACCAAAGCCCCCTTTGGGTGGGTGGGGGGGTGAGGTCAAAAGGCATCCCCAACTCGGTGAAATACTGTTTTCAGAACCCTTAGTGGACTCCTAGAACTAAACGTCCTAGCTCTTTAAATTCTTCGTCCCCTGTCGTACCTGCGGAGAGCCGCCGGGGGGCGTCGGAGGACGCATGCGCAAAGACGCCTTCGTCGTCGCGGTCCCTGGGAAGGGTGGGGTGACGTCACTCCTAAATCGGAAGTCCTGGTCGCTATGCGAGTGCTTGTGGGTAGGGAGGCCCGAAAGGGGGTCGGGGGCGTGTAGATGGAGAAAAAAATAGCTTCCGATGCAAGCAGGGAGGCCATCGCCGAGAGAAGACAGGCAACCGTGCCACAGAGGGGGATGCTTCATTTCCGAGGCCCTGCGTCACCTTTGCGTCGCGGGGAGCCGGGGAGGGGGGCGTTCTGGAGCCCGAAGGGAGGGGCGCGGGGGGGGGAGGAGTCCGGGGACTATAAACAACTCCTCTTCATATTCCCAGGTGGCGGGACCGGCTTCGTTGGGACAGCCCTGGTCCGGCTGCTGAAAGCTCGGGGTCACCGAGTGACGTTGGCCTCGCGCACACCCGGGCCAGACCGGATCACGTGGGTACGGCGGGGCGGGGCGGGAAGGGGCGTGGCTGGAGGGAAGGGGGCGGGGCTGGAAGGAAGAGGGCGGGGCGGAGAGCCCGGGGCGCTGTTCCCTCTCCCGTGCAGGACCAGCTGGCTGAGACCGGGCTGCCCCGCTGTGACGCCGCAGTCAACCTGGCTGGGGAGAACATTCTCAACCCTCTGCGCAGGTCAGCCGGTCCGGGAGCTGGTATTCTCCGGAGCGGAGGGAGGAGAGGGGCGGATCAGAGGGGAGCTTTGGAGCTAGTGGATGCTGGAACTTCCAGATCGAGAAAGCGCTCTCTTTGTCCCACCCCTTCACAACCACCCTTCTGTCCATTCGCCCTGACCTGACACTCAGCATGCCCAAGATCAACATGCTTTTTGCCTCTACAGGAGACAGGTCATTTCTCTAAGTCACAACAGCTTTTTACTAGAACGAAAATGCACGCGTGCAAACACCCCGCACGTTCCCTGAACTCGCCTAGGCGGACAGAGAAGGGCATGTGCAGGTCTGCATTTTAGTGACCGTAAACCGCCCCCCCCCTTTTTTTTTTCTTGCAGGTGGAATGAAGCCTTTCAAAAGGAGGTTCTCAGCAGCCGCCTGGAGACCACCCGATTATTGGCCAGCACCATCTCCAAGGCCCCAGAACCCCCCAAGACCTGGATCTTAGTCACAGGTGTAGGTAGGCCCCATTCCATCAGCCCTTTACATCAGCCAGACCCTTGCAGTTTGAGGGAGTAGTTCAAGTTCACCTCGCTCTCCCTAGCTCAGAGCCCTAGCCTCTCACAGGCACAATTTCCTGGCTCTCATGTCAATCCAGACTTTGTATACCTTCGCTGAGAAACGAACCCTTGGAGAAAGAGGGAGGGTAGCATACCTCCCTGTGCCTAGGAAAATTCCATCTGTTCCCAAATTCCTGTCTCTCACATCACAGTTAGTAGGGAACCGAGTTCTTGATTCTTGTAGTTCCCCTGTGGGACCAAATAACTGAGAACAATTATAATGTACAAGGAGGCTTCTATGAGTTGGCGGGGAAATCCCATTATTGTTTCATTCCATCCTATACACTAGAGATCCATCTGAGTGCTTTTGACGAATTGCTTCAGTTACTCCTCACAGCCACCCTGTGAGGTAGGGGCTGTGAGTGTCCCCATACAGTCCTGCCGCACCACTACGGGTAATAGAACTGAGGTGAACACTCAGAAGCCTGGCACTCGAGTCTGATCTCAGCCGCTGCACCCAGAGACTCTTCAACCCCTACAGCCACAGATAAGATGAGCAACCCTCCATGACCAGTGCCCTGGAGCAGCTCAGGGAGAACATTCCTGTGGCTCAGTCTTCCCGTGGGAGGTGCCCGGGGCCAAGGGCGATACGGCCGAGGGGAGCCTCACCACAAATAGCAGGTAGGAGCAAGGGCCAACAGATGGTGTTCCTTGGCAGCTTACTACCAGCCTAGCCTGACTTCGGAATATGATGAGGACAGCCCTGGAGGGGATTTTGACTTTTTCTCCAACCTCGTCACCAAATGGGAAGCTGCAGCCAAGCTTCCTGGAGATTCGACGCGCCAGGTGGTGGTGCGCTCTGGTGAGAAGTAGATTTGGTTAGAACAGCCTCTCTGGCCTTGGGAGCAGTGGGATCAGAAGTGGTCTTCCAGAGGGCCAAAGAGGCCCGCTTCTTCAGGTCAGCCTTCCAATGGGAGCTCAGTCTCGGAGCCACGTTGGCAGGGGAGAGGATAAGAGAGGGTAAAGGATGGGGAGGGACAGTGGGTCGCTTGTACTGAGGGACTCCCTCTTAACCACCCTTCCTGCCTGTTCTAGGGGTTGTACTGGGCCGAGGGGGCGGTGCCATTGGCCACATGCTGCTGCCCTTCCGCCTGGGCCTGGGGGGTCCCATGGGCTCAGGCCGCCAGTTCTTCCCCTGGATTCATATCAATGACTTGGTGGGGATTCTGGCCCACGCCCTTGAAGCAAGACACGTGCAAGGGGTCCTGAATGGCGTGGCTCCAGCCCCCGCAACCACCAATGCTGAGTTCGCACAAGCCTTGGGAGCTGCCCTGGGCCGCCCAGCCTTCATCCCCGTCCCCAGCATGGTGGTGCGGGCCGTCTTTGGACGGGAGCGCGCCGTCATGCTGTTGGAGGGCCAGAAGGTGATCCCACGACAGACCCTGGCTGCCGGCTACCAGTACTCCTTCCCAACGCTGGAGGCAGCCTTAAAGGAGGTTGTTGGTTAAGTAAGAAAGCTGACAAGCCGACGCCGGGACCTACGGCCCTTCCCTCCAACAGTGACTTCCGGACCAGAAACTGAATCGACATCTGTCCAACATGCTCCTACTTGAGCTCTGAAATCATTAATTCTTAGGAAGTCCGCCTTCCTGTTTCATTGTTTTGTTGCTCCGCCCTACTCAGCTGAGAGGCTGTCCCTTCTGCAACTTTGTGAATCCATCTAGGTAGGACCCTGACCCCTTCCCAAAGGATTTCCAGGCTTGGGTTCCCTAACCGCCCTTCCCGCCTCTGTTCCCCCTTAGGCTCTGTAGAGAACACGCTGCAGGTTGAGCAATAAAGGTTCTCACAGTAGCTTAGACTCAGTTCTTGGGCCTGGGTTCTCCCAGAATTCCTTCAGGGAACATCCCCCTAGGTTGGCTCTTTCCCTCCTCCTCAGGGGCTCTGAACATTGGAATGGTCAGCATCTCGCCTCATTCATGCCCTTGGTCCCTTGTTTGCACGAGTGCTGGACACAAATTGGAGGCACGAGGTTGAGATCCAGGGAGAGTGCAGAGAGGTCTGTTTCCAGGTCTGTAGTAGTCACCCTGCATCCCTGTGCTCAGCGGCCACGCGGGGCCGACAGTGAGAGAGCCTTCGGCCCTTGCCACCAAACGGGAGGGCATGAATAAAGCAGAACACCTTGGTGCCAGCTCATCAGGCTGCAGCAGTCAGCCCTTCTGCCTGTCGGAAGCCAGCAACTTGCTCCTCAGCTGGACGGGGCTGCTGCCCTCAACCAGGACCCTTCCCCAGAAGAGCAGGAGACCCGCCCCACTCACATGCCACCGTAGTGACGATGACCGGTCAAAGAAACAACAAGCAACATTGCACACGGAACCCAGGGGGGAGGGGGCCCCCAATGTCCACCTAGGACCTGTTCCCAATCTACCCTGTCATTTTCTGCGGGAGAAAGCCCGCGCTTTTTGTTCCCCTGAACAGTTCTACCCTATCTTCTAGGGTTGCTATGAGTCGGCGTCAATTCTCTGGCAAGATTTTGGTTTTGGGGTTTTTTTGGGTGGTTGGTTTTGTTTTTTGTCAGTTTCTGCCCCTTCACAGTAGTCTCCCAGCCCTAAGTTGGGCCTTAAGTAGGCAGTCTCTCTCCTAGGCGACCTTGGGTTCATGGTCACCTCCCTGGCCAGGCACTACCACACCTGTCCCCAGCCCAGATCAATACTGTCCAGTGATGTCAGTCGTCAGTGGCGGGAGGTGTTAATAGGAAGAAGCCTCAGAGATCTAGGGAGTCTCTCCATCTTCATTCAACTCTCTGGCCTTGGGGTGCTCAGGGGCTTGCTTGCTGCAGCATCCAGACCTGGAACACCTGTCCTCATTCTTTCTCTGCTCTGAAGACTCTCCGTTCTTCCGGAAGGAATGACTGGCCTCAAATACGGGTGTAGAACAAAGACATAGTTGAAGTTGCACTACAAAAAGGCTAATGGCTAATACTGTTGGGGAAATGAAACGTGCTCCCTGGTGAGGCAGTGGCCCAGGAGGAATTTATGCGGATAGAGGGTGGGGACTTAGAGGGATCCTGGTGGAGGGCCATCCTGATGCGACAACACAATCTGTCTGCTGGCTAGTCGGGGACCTTCCAACTCTGATTCTTTGGTTTGCATTTTCCAGGAAATCCGTTCAAAGTGCCACCTCTGTAAACCCCATACATACGCTCACATACACACGTGTACGCACAAGTGTTTACACAACATTTATGCTGAGAAAAATGTACGGGTCAGAACACGTTCACATTGCTACTGTCTTCTTTGGCTTCGCGACTGCTCCTGACACCGCAGCAAGTGCATCTTCCAGGGCTTTCTGGCACAGTCACTAATTTGCAAACACTTGATGGATTGCAGTCGGAGAGCTGCCACTGAAAGGTCCCCTGAGAGTATTTTGGTAATGCAAAAACTCACCCCCTAATTGAACTATTTTATACAATGTAGATCTGGGGGATTGCCTAAAAAGATGCAGCCATTATAGGGCACATTGTATACTGAGGATTTGTGTGTTAAAAGGGCACGGGTGGAGGCCCGGGGGACAGACAACCCACAGCTTCCGAAAGACGGTCTTCATTGAGAAACCTGCACAGCCAGCCGGACACACCTGAGACTTGGTCAAGCACCTGACCTCCAGGGGCGGACCTGGGCATCCTCACTGCTCCTCCCGCAGGGATTTTCACCCCTGATTTACAGGCAGAAATAAAAATCCAAGCAGGCCAGTCAGTTCCCTCTGCCTTCTCCAGCTCCCCCGCTGCAACCAGCCCACCTAACAGGACAGCCTGTCCAGGGCCCAGCATTGCCGCCAGTTGTCCTGGAATCCTAGCCAGGCCTGGGAAGTGCCCCATCCGCTGACCACCCAGAGCAGCAGCCAGGGGAAGAAGAGGCAACGTGTCCTTGCTACCTGTTCTTTTTCTCCCCCACGCCCACCCCACCCCCAACTCAACTCAGAGCCCCTCCTCCCTACAGACACCGCGTGCGAAGGCAAAGTTGAGAAGTCAAGGCTGCACAGAACCTCTTGAGAGCTGGTGAGGTCCTGACTCCAGAACACATCAGGTCGCTGTATGAACCGATCCCCAAAGGGTCCCCGGCAAGAACGTCCCGGCCTCTCTGGAAAGCTCTTCCTTAGTGTCTCCCTGACCCAAAGCACCCACTCAGGGTGACTGAGTCAGGCTTTAAGCAGCAAAGGAACTCCTGCAGAAGGGGCTGGGCTAGGCAGCACTGGAGCTGAGAGACAGCAGGTGAAGCTCAAAAGTTGAGACTGAGCAGGGCCTCGGAGAGTTGGTTGATGTCCCGGCAGTATGGCTCCCGCTGCAGGATGAAGTCCACCTTGTGGTCCTGGCCCCAAAAGACCTCCAGCAGCTGGCGCCGCAGCCGCTCAGTCTCCCGGGTCTTCCGAATGCCACCCCCGCCTTTTTCCTCTTCCTTCCCCTGCGGCAGACTTCCAGGGTTTGCAATGCCCCTGGGAGGAGGCTGAGCCTCAGGCGGCTCCTGTGGCCTGGGGAGAAGCAGAGAACAGAAGAGTTGAAGAGTTTCCTGGGGAGCAAGGAGGGCCCAGGGCTGTGGGCAAAGTGGTTAACCATCTACAGGAGCATAATCTACCCAGCGGCGCCTCCACGTGGGAAAGATGTGACTATTGGCTTCCCTGAAGATCAAAAAACAAAGAACATTGCAATGAGTCAGGTCCAACTGCCACCTCTTTCTCCCAAGGAACAGCTGGTGGGTTCAAACCACTGGCCTTCAGGTGAACAGGTGAACTCTTGAACACTGCACCACCTGGGCTCCTTTCCATAAAGATTACAGTGTTGGAAAACCTGTGGCAGTTCTGCTCTGTCCCAAAGAGTATTAAATAGATTTTACTCCTGGCTCTGCAGGAATCACCCTACAGTTCCCCACGATGACCACTGAGTGGCAGTGGTCAGCTTGGAACCAGGCAGGTGTCACCATTAGGATGAGTGAGTGCTAGTCTAAGCGTCCAGCAAAGGGCAGATATAAAACAGAGCCGAAAACCAAACTCGCTGACTCGTGGCAATGGTTCAGATACGAGTTTTCATCTAAAACCAAAACTCCTAAATCAGAGGCCCCCACCCCACCCCCAACCTGAAGGGGCTGTCTCAGGATTCCTCTTCCAGCAACTAAAACTGATACAGAATTGAGCTGGCCCCAATCAAGGTCATCTCCTGGTGTGCAAAGCTCCCTACAGAGAAGATCAGGGCTCAGAGCCATCTGCAGGGTAAGGGGGCAAAGCTGGGGCGGGCAACATTACCTAGCTGGTTTCTTCAGGAATTCATCCAGGGTGGGGCCATTTCGCCCCAGGGGGTCATCAGGAACCATGAAGAGGTTTCCCACGAAGGTAAAGGGCAGCAGGCTAGATGGGGACAGATACTGTATAGTCACAGAGGTTGGCTCTGCCCACCTCCCGGAGAGCTGAGAGCAACACCACCCAGAGGCCAAAGCCACCAGAAGCTGCTGGCTCCTTTCCTTCAAGGTCACGCCAGCCCCTTCCCAGAGGGCCGTCCCACCTGAAGGCCAGGGAGAGCTGGCTGTTGAGAAAGGTCTGGCTGAGTCCCTGCCCTGTCTCAAGGGCTCCCTCACCGCTCTCGGATGATGGCCATCCACTTCTCAGACTCCTCGGCCAGGTCCCGGAACTGGTCATTGGAGACGATGATCCCATTCGTCTCTTCAGCCAGCTTCACCATGAACCTATCTCGAAAACCAGGCAGCCGTTCTTGGATTCTGCAAGGCTCCAACCCGAGAGAGTGTTACCAACTCTCCCGACCTACTTCTGGCGATGGACATCTGGCCCCTCGCCTCACCTTGACCCAGCCACCGGTGACGGGTGGGCTACAGGTGCCGTGAATTCGAAAGGAAACAAAGATGAATCCGAGCTGGTATCGCCAATAGCAACCCTTCCGCCCACCACACTCCCTTACCAACACGCAGTGCCTCTTTGAGACAGAAAGACCTGACGCTCATCACCTTCCACTCTGCCCCAATCAGGCACAAACCCACTCTGCTCTTCCTCTGAGATTCTTTCCCGTTCACCTCTTCCTCTTCCACCCATCATTGTCACTTCGTCCTTAGGCCATTTCAACTGGGATGTTCCAAGAGCCCCGAACAGGTGGGTCCCCTACCTTCAGTCACACTCCAGGGCCGTCTCTTCTGCCCTTCCCCTAAAGAGCATGCGCTGCACAAAATGCTCCTGCTGTTGCCCATTATCTACCCAGTAAAGTCCACATGGCAGCGAAGGCCCTCCAGGACCCAGCCCCAAGCCATCCTTATCTCTCTCTCTCTCTCTCTCTCTCTCTCTCTCTCTCAGTATTCCCCGATGCACCCTCAACCCCAGCCAAAATCAATGACCAGACTGCACTCTGTTCTCCAAATTCACCCCGTGCTTTCTCGTGTGTATGTCTAGACCGTTCCCTGCATTTGGAAGGCAGTTCCCAAAGCTCCCTGGTAAACAGAATGACAGAGGAACCGTATGTAAAATAACCATGCCTGGGCCCCACTCTGGTCACTCTGAGTCTACGGGGCAAAGATGAGGTTGTCAGTGGCCTCCTTAACAAGTTTAAAACCCCGAAGATCCAGAACAAGCCAGTTCACTCTCACTCAACAGAAAGCACACACACACCTCCCTTCCCACACAACCCCTACCAGAAGGGAGCTCCCCTTCCTCCGAGTTACTGGAGCTTTGACTTCAACGTTGACTCCTTGACCACAAGCAACAGGTTTGCCCCCAGAGTTCCCATCCTGTTCCGCAGGCTATGAAGTGGCTACGAGCTGAGCGGTCAGAACGTGTGGCTACAGGGGACCAGGATTCAGATTTGGAGCAACAGAGGACTGGTTCCGACCTGCTGCCTGGGAAACTGAGGGGACGGCATGAAACGTATCTGCCCAGGACCGTTTCTAGTTAGGCATGTTCTGCTGCCTGCAGCGCGTTCACCGGTGCCCGCAGGTTAGGCCGGGCTAGCACCACTGTGCTGACTCACTATGGATTCAGATGGTGTTGTCAACGCCGGGGACCCCACGCAGCTGTCTGACTGTCCTGTCTTACTGAAGCCCACCCACCCTGCACTTTCCAGTCCACTCCAGTGCTGGTGTGGAAACTGTGTTCCACACTTGGGTCATCTGCGAGCCTGTGTATACAACCGTCTAGCCCAGGAAGAACGTGAGCTATGTCCTTTTGTAGAACAGCACTGACTTGTTGGGGGGGAGTGCGTGTTTAAGTATTTAAAAAGGGAAAAATAAGCCATCGCTACGGTTTAGACACAAGTTTTCATCTAAAACCAACTCTCCTAGAGATACCATAAATGTGTAATTTTTTAAACATTAAAAAATAAATGTTTAATGTTTAAAAAATTTAATCGGTTACTTAACATTTATAATCTGTCCGTCTCCCACATACATCTGAGGAAACTTCAAAAGACTCATGGGGGAAAAAATCTCATGACCTTCTCATTCCATTTTTCCAGGATTTCTGGAAGCAGCCCCATATGCACCCTGGAGAGGGCGTGTGCCCTGCAATTTCTGGCCACTGGACTCTGAGCTCTGCGTGGCCGTTTCTCCCTTGCCACTTAGTAGCAACTTTTGCCAAGACCATCGATCACTCTTCTCCTGGAGCGCCCAATCTGTGCCAAAGAGGTCACAGTCTCCTGCTACGTTGGTTTGTGTCCAGGCAAAGGTAAGAGCTCAGAATCACCCTGTCTTCCCAGCACCCTGAGCTAGGCAAACACATACTTGATCTCCGATATCCACAAAGAGGCCGGGGTTGTGGGGGTGAAGGAGACCCCTGAGACAAAGAGGAACGTCTCCAGGAGGGGTGCACAGGCAAAGTGAATGCGCACCGCAACTCAGAGCCCAAGCCCACATCTTTGACTTCTCAGTCCAGTGACCTAAATGTGACATCATGGTGGCCCACCATCCCCTTCACGTGAGTGGTTATTTTGAAGGTCTGCTAGATTGTCAGGGGCAATTTCGCCCTGCGCTTAGAAATGAGGGTTGTGGGAAGACATCGGTCAGCTGCTCCTGCTTCCCCCATCTTTCCACTGCACCACAGGCAGGCGCTGCAATGCGAGGGAACATTAGGTTGTGGAATGAATGAAAAGTGAACAGCGAGTGGACCAACAGTTGCTCGCAGTCCACCTCATCGCTCATGAAGGGCAGATTTCCCTACCCAGGCACAAAGGCACACGGAGGTCTAACTAGCCCGTCTCTGTCCCCCAGGCTTGGAGAAACCGCAAAGGGTTTGGAGTTTCTCTCGCCCCCTCAGTTTCTCACGGGGGCTCCCTTGACCTTCCAGCATGGTCCCGAGCCCAGGGAAGAGCCAGTACCTGTCGTCATAGGAGGAGATCCTCTTGCCATCCATAACCCGAGAGGGGGTGAGGGAGAGCAGGCTGAGGGAGTAGAGCTTATGCAGGAAGTGGCCCTCTACAGAAAGAAACAAGAGTTCTCTCCAGGGTGGACTGTCCCCCAGGGCCTAGCCCAGGCCATAAGAGCCCAAGCGCAACTCACCTCTGACCTTGGAATCTTTACTGTAGCGCCACTGCGGCACAAAGACGGTGATGTCGCGGTGACCTCGGTCCCAGAAGTACTGCACAGCAATGGCGATGCCCCGGCTGGAGAAGTAGTGCTGGAGGCCATGCCTGCCGTGGGGAGGGGGCCCGGGGCCTGACTAGGACGCCAGCCCCCGAGCCCATCCCCAGGGTAGCCGGGTGGCCAGGTGCGGGTCACCCTCCCGTCGTGCTATTGGCCTTCACCCGGTACTTACACCATGGCCACGTTGCTGCCATCGATGACAATATGGCGGAGGTCGGGCTGGCCGGGCACATTGGCAAGGCACAAGGTGAAAGGGTCCTGCAGGGCCTCCTGGAAACGCTGTGTTCCAGTCACCAGGTTGCCCCCCCGGGTACCCCGCTTCCCCGGTGACCCCCGGCCGCGACTTGGGATCTGCTGCTTGTCCCCGCGGTCCCCACCTTGCCAGGTGGGCTCAGGTGCAGGCATGGGACTGGGCACTCTAGGAGGGGAAGCTTGCCCATTGTGGAGGTGCTGAAGAAGGGAGGCTCCCCGGAGCTGACTCTGAGAGGGGTCAAGGGGCCCAGGAGACTCTCCCTGGGGACAGAACCCTCCTCCCTCCTTCCCCATGGCTTTCCCTTTCAGGGGCCCTGCCGCTGCTATCTCTCCTCCCCCACACCGGGACCTGAAAGCCATGTCTCCCCCACAAGCACGGGCCCCAGGTAGCTCCTCCCACCCCAAATCTGTCTCCCTGGGACCTGCCCCCTTCTCTGGAGCATGTCGCTCTCCCCTGGCCTCTCCCTGCCCCAAAGAGCCAGTGTCCAGGGACTCCCTGCCTTCCCTCGGGAGAGCTCTGACTCCTAGGGGCTGAGCGCCAGGGCTCTTCCCTGCCCAGGAGGCACATGCTTGTGGCCCCTGGCCCCTGGCAGCCTCCTGCACCAGACTCAGCAGTTCCTCCTGGACAGCCAGGGGCAGCTGGAGCAGGGCTTCTTTGTGGGCGTCTGCCTGGGGCTGCAGCAAGGCAGAGAAGTCTCTCAGTGCCCCAGCAGACTGAGACGCTCCAGAAGCGGGCCTGGACCACAGGTTCCAGTTCAGCCGCTCCCCCAGCTCCTCCACACGGCTCTGCGCCATGACGAAGGCCTCCGTCAGGCCGCTGACCATCAGCGAGCCAGGCACCAGCGGGACCAGGTGGGCTGTTGTGCTCCAAGCCAGGCAGTCGAGGAAGAAGCCCTGGGCCCCGAGGAAGATGCAGTGCAGCTGGGGCGGGTAGCGGATCTCACTCTGCAGCTCCGGGCTGCAGAGACCCTTCAGGTACTCCTGGAGCGGGGAGAGGCAGAGAAAGGCAAACCGCTGGAATCGTACGTGGCCTGGTCACCCCATCAACCTCATAGCTCTCTCCCCAGAGCTGCAGGATGCAGCGCAGAGCAATGGGGCCCGTGGCTCTGGACAAGACAAAGGGTTAAAAAGAGAGAACGTTGCTCCGTTCATTTCCCTTTGCAGCTGACAGCCTATGTTAGAACATCACCTAGAACTTGAAGTGAAGATGTTATTATAAACCACTGTTGGCTACAAGGCTGTCGTCTTAAATGTTTATGAGAACGTGTAAGTTGTATCTGTCCATCATAATGATCCTTCCTGATCACTTTTACCAAACCCATGATTTATGAACTTCATCTCATTCACAAGAAGCCCAATAAGGCTATACTTCCCATTTTATAGATAAATAAACTGAGGCTGGAACCCCAGCCTGCCTGACTCCAAAGAAAGACGGCGTGTCGGTGATACCAATGCTTAAGCACCCAATTGCTGGCTAAGAGGTCTAAACCAGGGGTTCTCAACCAGTGGTCGTGACCCCTGTGGGGGTCGAACGACCCTTTCACAGGGGTTGCCTGATTCATAACAGTAGAAAAATTACAGTTATGAAGGAGCAACGACAATCATTTTGTTTGGGGGAGTCCACAACATGAGGAACTGTACGAAAGAGTCCCGGCATTCGGAAGGTTGAGAATGACTGGTCTAAATAATCGAAGTCGGAGGATGCTGGAATGACCCCAACCCAAAGAGCCAAACTCACAGTCATCAAGACAATTTCTGCTCAGAGTGAGTCTCTGGGACAGGGTAGACCTAGCCCTGTGTGCATCTGGGACTGTTAACACTTTGCAGGAATAGGAAGTCCTGCCTTTCTCCCAGGACAATCCAGGAGGGCTGTCAAAACCAAAACCTATATTTCATCCCGGAGTATGGGCTATGAGACAAACGTTTTTAATTTCCAGGGGAGCCCTGAGTTGTCTCGGGTTTTTTTTTTTTCCTCTGAAGAGTGGGGGTGGGGGGCAAATAGGGAAGCTGTAGTCTCAGCCCACCCAGTGGCTCCTTGGGAGAACATTCTGGTGAGGACTGCAGCCCCAGAGGCCCTCCAGGGCAGTTCTACCCCATCACACAAAGTCACTGGGTCTAAACTACTAGTACCTAGAAGGCACATTCAAAAAACGTTTTTAAACCAACCCACAGTATGCTCCTTGGCTGACCCCACTGGCTCATGTGACATAGTAGGTTAAGCTTACACTGCTAAGTCACAGGTCAGCTAGCTGCTCAAACCCACCAGCTGTTTGTTCCCGGGGAGAAAACGGTGAGGCGATTTGCTCCCATAAAGATTTACAGCCTCAAAAACCCTATAGAGAGTTACTGTAAATCGGAGTGGACCCGATGGCAGTGGGTTCGGTTTTCCTTTCTCCTGGAGCAGCATAAATAGGATTTGAATTGGGTCAAATCACCTGGACCTTCACTCCTTGGCAAAGTCACACAAAAACGAGGCTGCATCAAAACAAAAAGGAAACCAAAACTCCCAACACCCAACTCACTGCCACCGAGTCTATGTTACCCATGGCAACCCTCCAGGGCAGCCTGGAGCTGCCCCGGTGGTCTCCTTACGGAGGCAGAAAGCCCTGTCTGTCTCCCATGAAGCAGGCTGGAGGTTCTGAACTGCTGACCTTGCAGATAGCGGCCCCAACGTTATCACCACTACACCATCACCTGCAAGCAGGCACAACATTGGGAAATCCCTCTGAGCCCGAGGCCACCGAGCGTGCTAGAGAGACCATGTTAGAATCAAGATTCACCCACGCCAGCTCTCGTGCCCGGAGAGGGTGGGGGCTGGGGAAGGAGTCGTCCTTCCTTCCCGGAAGAATTAGGGGAGGGGCATTTACCTTGGCTCTGCTGGCGTTTTCCTTGGGGCCCTCAAGCTGCAGCCAGATGTGCGGGTTCTCAGGACAGTCCTTCGGGAGAATACTCATCCCGACCCTGAAGATGCGCTCCACGTGCGGCTGCTGCTCACGCACCTTAGCCTCCGCATCTGCAGACACCGCAAAGCGGTCCGGGGACGAGGAGGCAGCCCCCCAAGTCGGCATGGCTACTCCGTCCAGCCCTGGACGAGGAGACGAGAGCTCAACCCAGGGGTCCAGACCCACGCCGGCTCTCCACCCTCACAGCACCTCAACCACCTGATAAACAATCTCGGGGCGTGACCAGCGCGGGGTACGGAGAGAATGGCAGTTTGCCCCTAACGGGGGACTTCTCTCTGCAGGGATAAGCAAGCGCGGAGTTTGGAAATGGCGCTTGGAAGGGTGGGGAACTCCAGCTTGGTTCTGGGAGCCAGAAAGAGCGGGCAGGTTGACGACAGCGCCCTGAGAAGGCCTTTCCAACGGGAGCGCACCCCCACCTCCGGCCCCCAAACGTCCCTGAGACTTGAGTCCCCGCAGGGACCTGAATTGGACTGTCCTCTAGGGGTCCCTGTTGGCATTTCCCAAGTCTGAACCACGCCCCCGCGGGCCCCCTCCCCCCAG